ACGTGGGGTTCAGCATGGGGGCCAACAAACACCATTTTGTTCATGCCCCAGGGTGCTGGGTTATACGTCTGGGGTTTTGGGGGTTAAAACCAATTGTTCATCTGTATAATTGTATTTATTGTATTCTTTTTATTGAAATGTAATTCTGGCATATAATCTCTTTTGAGTTGGCTTCATTTCTCCTGCCGGTTTACCTTTAAACCAGCACAGGTTAACAACCAAGTCCTCCTTTAAAATTAATCACTGATTGAAATACCACAGCTGCAGGACAAACTCCGTGTGATCCGCACATGGGAAGCTACAACTAACTGTATCTATCAGGCCTCTCATCAATTAGTCACTTGGAAAGCATCGGCCTTACCATGGTAGTGTAAGGCTAGTCCATTAGCTAACATTAAGAAAGCAAACAAAAAAAATATACCTTGATATATCTTGCCTCAGCTTTTAATCTTTTCCTTCATGAGAGAGACTTGGAAAAATTAAGTGGAATCCCAGGAAAAATTAATTTCTATGAGGATGAAAATTTGGCTTCAGGGAAGTCTGAAAGACTAGATAATGTAGCTTACTGAAAAGTGACACAACAAAAGCAGCACACAAGTACTGAATATGTTTATTCATTGCAAATTATCATAATATGACATTTTATAATTCTTTCCCAGTGGCAACCAAGGCAGATGAACCAAACATCAAAAAGGACTGTAAATAAAAACCTTTCTCACAATACATCTGCAGAACTCACAACAGCAAAGCTGAGGCAGAATGTGGATTAATTAATCTATAAATTAATTATTAATTCATATAAAAATATGTTTAAGTGGCCTTTTTTTATTTCCAGGTCTGTTAGAAATAGAAAGATATCAGCAAGAATAAAAATGTACCTTTTTTTAGGAAAAAATATCTCAGAACCAAATAAGAAAACATAAAGAGTCCATGGTATAGGAAACTTTTTTCCTCATATGCGTTCCACCCCTGGCATATGAGAAAGAAAGAAAAGGACCATTTTAACCAGCACATCTTCACAGTTTTATTTTAAGATCCTTAGGTAAGTGTTAGCTGATTTTGAACTTACATTATTGCTTTAAATAAAAATAATCATAAGGTTTTTTTCTGTAATTTTGAGTAAACAGAAGGCTGGTAAGCAAACAAACTGTTTAGTGAAAAAACCCCTAACAGTTCTGTACAAGATTCCATTTTGAAATTTGTATTTTATAAATGATTAAGGTGTTTTGGTTTTTTTTTATTAAAACCATTTCATGTGATAATTTTCATGCAACAGAGTGAACATTTTTCCTGTGCTGTCTGATAGAGCACAGGAAATAAATGGGCCTCACATGAAATAAGTTGTTTCATTCAATTACAAATGCAAATGTACTACGAACTTTAGAATAACTATTTCAACACCAACATTAGGGTTAATAGGACATTAGCAAGATGTGTAAACCAAAGTGTTTTGGAAATATTTTAGTTACAGCAAGTATAAAACACTAAAGTATTTCCATTTTTGCTGAGAACTCATGGGCCACCTATCAATTCTGGAGGTGATCCTGACAATGATGCCATCACCTCCACCAACGTTAGTAAGTAATTACCAGATACGTTTTCAGAGATTCTCAATGATCTTTAAGGTTTTCAAATGTGAACAGGAATATGAATAGAGTAACAAGTTAGAAAATTCTCTATTACTGCCCTGCCTTGATATAGAAGTATATTTTACGATATCTGTCTCTTGCATCTTTAGTTATCAAAACCTTATTGGATAAATATGCTTTACAGGGTTTTGTATAAGATCTGTTTCAGAGAAAAAAACTTCAGGAACTAAGACCTAAATTAATTTAAGTTGGCTTCCCCAGTCACTGTAATAGAATAACAATGTTTGACTTTTGCACAAAATTATATAATTTATTTCAATATTCTTTCAAGTTTCCAGTCATACAATCAACTTATTTTCCACATCAGTTTATCTGAAAAAGCCTTACATATTTAAGAAATTATCATAGATATCTTTACATGATGAATTATCAAGTATTATCAAGCGTGTACTGGCTTTCACTGTGCTTGAGACATTACTTTTCCTCCTGTTTCATCAGCAGAGAAAGTCATCACCATCAAAAACTGACTGAGAAATACAGTTGCTCAAAAAGTGTAAGACAAAAATAGAAGTAGAAACCATTGCTATGTTGTGGTCATCAGAATTACTGAAAATGCCTTTGGGTTTTGCCATAAATATTCAAATAGCATAGGAAATGAAACTCTCAAAAATTTGGGTGTACATACAGATCAGTAGCTCCTGAGTTACACTGTACAAGCATTTTGGATAATCAGTTGTAATACAGATGTGTAGAAGCAAGTTTCTTGAATACTCAAGAAAAAAATATGCTATGTTACTGCACATGCTATTGTTATAACACATGCTTTATGTTGTTTTAATAGCAAATGCCACCTAAATGCAGCAAGCTCATGATGCCATTTCATGAAGCTATATTACACAAGTAATTGACACCAAGTAGCTACAAAAGTATTTCCTATTTTCAACTACACTGTGGCAAACCCATCAGCAGAGCACAGCGCTTCATCAGAGTATCTGTCGTCACTGCTTTTTTTGGGGCATGGGAGAATATAACACAGGCATTACATCACCATTTATGTTTGGAGGTTTTTTCCATAGAATCAATCAAAATTTTACAAAAATCTAGCCAACCAACAAAGAGAAAAGTATGCTGCATGTACAGTTCTGCCCGGAGATAGCACTTTGCAATTACAGCAATAGAGGTCAAACATTTGGAAGTTATGACTGTGCATTCCTCATGTAGCCATGTAGTCATATTGTGTATTACCATATAAACTTCTCTTTGTGAGGGGCAAAAGATGAGAAGTGCTCATTTAATAAACTGGATAATAGAACTGATTTTTTTTTTCAGCATGACATCACCTCTTACATCAGCATGCACATGCTGATGTAAGAATTACATGTCTCACGGCACTCTTCCTCACAGACATTAATGCACAGTCTCCAATGGGATAATTCAGTTAACTGAGCAAATACCACAGCATCTCCTAAGTGATTTAGCATTTTGTAGTATTCTATTTCTCGTAACTTCATAACGTTCATTTTCAATGATCTGCACTGAGTTCCCAGAAGTAACAGCTTGAAAGCCACCTGGGCACAGAGACACATTAAGAACCAGTGAAAAACAAAACTAACTTTCTCAGCACGTTGTAAGGATTGTGTAAGAGGCAAATCTATTCGTTAAGGGTGGCCTCAACAGTGAAACAATCCTTTTCTTGTCCATTACACTCTTTCAAACTTCTCCAGCAAATTAAGTTTGCAACCTTACAAACAATCTGTCCACAGACAAAGGAGATTTCTTTCCCTGTTCATTTCATGTCTGAACTAGGTGGGAAGTTTTCATTCCATATATTCTACAGTTTCCACTCCTCTCTTCTTGACCCAAAGTTGTTGCTTCAAAATGGACTTAAAACAAGTTATCAGCATTTTCACAGATGAGAAACTGAGGCTCCAGTGCACAGGTTCATCGTGGTTTTTATGTACTTAACCAAAGCACTAAACCTAGAGGCCTGCTGAGCTCTCTCCGGTCAATGAAACCTTCAGCAGTCTGACCTTCAGCTGTCTTGACTGGATTTCTAATTTCTGCAGTTCAATCAGGTGCCTAAGGATGAGCATAACTTCACCCTTTAGGAGTACTAAGAGAGAGATACAAAGAGATGAGAGTACTAAACCCAGATCTCAAAAGCAGAACCCTACCTACTACTATCACATTGCTTCATGAAATTCCTTGCATCTTTGTTTTAGAATACTTGACCTTGTAACTGTAAAACATTCTTTAGATTTAAGAAGAACACAAACACAAATAATCAAAATCATCAGCATTTGGAGCATATTTATCCACTGTACAAATCTTTTTGTATGAACATAATTAGCAGCAGCTTTTGAGACCAGAGTAGAAGAGAAGAAGTGGGCACCTAACAATTTCAGTTAGCAGGAAACCCGTGTGGCATACGCTTTCCTAACATATACTTCTCAGTGCAATTGGAGTTGTATTTCCCCTCTGAAAAGTAAGGCATGCTTCTTAAAACATCAGACAAATAATCAAATAAAGACAAATAAAGAGAATTTCCACAACAGAAAGAGGCAGCAGTGCTTGAATTACACTGCTGACAGGCCACCTGTAATTCAAGTCTGCGTTAAATCTGCAATCCAATTAATGCAACTGTTCATTGGTTTGTTTATTTGGGGAGGGAGTTTTGTGTGCTTATTTTTGCTAGAGGTTCTTAGATAAACAGTATCTTCAATGTTCTTAAAATGAGATTGTCCTTTCTTCCACTAATCTTCCTACAAGATGGGCCAACTCCCCTCCTACAGGCAAAACTGGCTAGCAACATCCACCTGTATCTTAAAATATAAATTTCATTTTCAATCCTACATGAATGTTTACAAGCTGTCACCCAATAACTTGTCACTTAATGTAGAGCAAACTATAATCAAACATCAAAAGAATCTGTCTGGAATTAATCTGTGACTTCTCTAAAATAATAACTTTCATGCAATGCTTGGCATATGGAGCACAAATCATAGTGAAATAAGTAAATACATGCTAATGTGGGATGGAGGAAATTGTTTCTGAAGCAGATGTTTCACTTGTTAAGCTATACTCATACCCACAAATGAAGAAAAAGATATTATGGACATATTCATCTTAAAGATCTGCTGATGTTGGACATTAGGAAAACAAAATATATCGAAATACCGATTGATTTACATATACAAAGACCATTTATAAATTTTTTCACAACACCAAAGTTGTTTGTGGAACAAAAAGAACAAATCAGTTGGGAGGAAAAAGTGCAAACAAGAAAGAATCTGTGCTGAAGCCAAGCATGGAACAGAGAAAGTAATTAGACTAAATCTCGCTTTCAGAATGTTAAGAATCATTTAGCTAGAGACCAGCGTCAAACTGAATTACCCCATATTTCCCACTTACCATCCAGTCAGGTTCAGAAGCCTCAATTTGTTCACCTTGTCCAGGTTTTAGGCCAACCTGAGTGTCAGATTTTAGTGTTCTCAAACTACAGAGAGGCGCAGGATGAAACTTGTTCAAGGCTTGATGAAACGGGACACTATATTCCCATTTTCTATCTCCTGTTAATTTTCTATAGTTTAGATCACCTTTGAAAAAAATCAAGTTTGACTTCTGTAGCTCAGCATACAAGTCAGGAGCAACTCCACCCATACTGGAAAAGTCATGTGGCAAAGTCCAAAACATGTGGTCACAGAAAACCCAAACTCCCTTTTTCAAATTGCCCTCCCAGTTTATACCACACCTAGACATCCACATATGATTAGCTGACTGCAGTTGTTTAATAGTCCAGTTAAAATCATGCTTTGTGGTATCTGACACGTACCATGGAATACTTTTTCCATGGAAATAGACTTCATCAGCTAGCTTTGACGATAACAAGAAATCAGCCAACACAAGATCACTTACAAGTTCAAATCCAGCATTATCCAGGATTATGTCAACTCTAACATTACTTCCTTCTGTTCTATTTTTTTGGGCATTTACAAGTAGTGACCAAAGTTTTTCCATATCATTCACTAAGATGTAAGGTACCATGTTTGCCAGGGATTGTAAGGGACTAGACTTCTGAGAGCTGTCTTCACCAGCTGAAAAAGAAAGGTCACACTTGTTGCCCCACAGTGACACCTAGAACGAAGAAAAAACAAAACACATTTGCTAAGTCTCACTTAACTTCACATAGACTAAAGATTTTGTTTACTTCTTTTTCGTTTAGGTAATGAAGGCTCCAACTCCACACTCAACTTCTTATACAGATATCTTAACGTAGGTGAGATTAACATAGGTGGAAGAAACCAAACAATGCTCTGTATTTCTTCAGGTATGAGAAACACGCATCAGAAGTGACAAAGATGAAAGATTTAGGTCAACAAAGATACACTGATGACAAAGCTTAAAACACAAATATTCTCCATACTGCAATTTCAAAAAAATATCTGTGGTAACACAGAAAAAGGAATATTAAAGCATGTTTATTTTTCTTATTACATACAGCTAAGTAAGTATTTTAGGTATATGTATTTTAAGTACTCACTAATGATCTCTTTATAAAGATTCATCAAATACTTGGTTTGCACTGTTGCCAGCTAATGGACTTCTTTGTAATCCTAAAATATTTTGGGTATTGTACCCAAAGGCATTATAGTCATTATAAAGCTTTTAAACCACTTCTGGCCCAGACTGACTTCTAAATTTTTCCCCAAAGAAGTTTAGAAATGTTTAGAGTGTCAATTAAAATGTACTGTTTTAAAAAACTATAGTTAAATACCAAAAAGGTCATCTGGAACTTGACTTAAAACATTTGAGAAATACTCAATTCAAAAAGAATTGCTGTGTTTTCAAATACACAGTGAAGATCTTGAAGATCAGCAGTTAACAAAAATGTCACATTTAAGACAAGTAACTAAAATATAAATATTTCCACAATAGCAGCAATACAGTATGGCTATCAATCAGGATTTCATCACATTTTTTACAAACAAAAGAGCTATATTTTAACTTCCATATGATAGTTCCAATTCTTTATAACCTCAAGTTTTTGTTTATTTCACAGGAGAGACATTTTAAATTCTTGTATTAAGCACTAGTAGTTTACCTGCAATAGCTTAAAAAGTTCCTCCTTAAGTTGCTTTTCATCTAGATCCTTGATGTTCTTAAGAAGTTCCTGAAAGTAAGTGCATAATGCAATAACAGCCTCTTGGGATTCAAAGAAATTTTGAGCCTTTCCTTCTTTAAATACGTCAAAGTTGTCAATAGGTGGGCTAAAAAGAGGAGAAAAAATATATTGACATACTTGCCATGACAGTACATGCAAATGAAGCTCAAAGGTCAGCTTTTTATACCATACTACAGGCCCTTGTTAAGATTTTCCACTTCTCATTTGTCATACTAGACTTACACAAATCTCAGTAACAGCCTGATGCCATATCTCACCGAAACAGACACTATGCATAAACATTTTTATATTTCCAGCAGTATACTCTGAAAGTGAACAAGTGCTCAGTTACAACACTTCTGGGAACTGCACATACAGTGACCTTTTTGAATTCCAATCTTCAGGCACAGATAACTAAAACTGTAACATACAAGTGAACTAATGTGGAGAACTGCTGGCCCAATTTTAAGTTTGTTTTTGTGTGCTGAAGTTACTTCCCATACCAGATTATCTTACAGTGATAGGAAGTTATTCATATGAAAGTCTTTACTAGGAGTCTGGAAAATTAACATAACAAAGATGAGAATATTTGCACATACACCTTTTGACAAATGAACTTCCATCAAAGCCTACACTCAAGAGGAGATAAATAATGGAGATCAAGAAACTTAAAGCTTACTACTGAAAAGTATCCATGGACCTTTTTAAGTGCAATCAAGTAAATCCATCTCATATTTGAAGCTTTTGGTACAAGAGTTCAGATTACACAATATACCAGTAGAAACTGAGTCTCATTCCTGTGTTTGCATCTCTGCAATACTATGGGGTAAATCCAGTCTTTATGGAGCTTTCATATTCTTTTAACACCAACAGGAACTTAAGCTGTTCACTCCTACCCCACAACACTGTACTGGCACCTCTCCATGGTACCAGCACAAGTTTTTCCTGTGCAGAGTTATTTTTAACCAGGATCAGCTCCCAGAGTTTGATGCAACACATGGTCTGCATGCACTGCTGTAACTAAGAAGCTGGTGCAGACTAAACAACAGGGGCTGCTTAAGGTGGGTAAACTGCCATAAGAAACAGTTCTCAAATGGTAACTTTACATTTCAAGCGACGAAACAAGTTAGAATTCCCAACAGATTTGTGGCTCTCGCGTTCCCTGTTTTAGGCTTAAGAGAGAGTTCTAGGCTAACAAACCTTTTGGAAATGCTACGTGATTTTCATATCGCAATTCACATTAGTCTGCAAGAAGGCAGGCTACACAGTCAAGTTTAAGAGTTTTCATGTAGATCAACTCACCAAAACTGAAGCATAAAAAATTTAGTAAGCTTCAAATTCTGCTGTATGGAAGAAGAAAAGGTATTAATTTTAATTGAAGTGCGAGACAAGGGAAATGGAATATGGTAAAAGCTTAAGATTTTCCTTTATCTTACTCCTCAGCTGTCTTTCTTCCTCCTAAAATAGAAATGGGAAAGAGCAATGTTTTTCAAAATAGCACACCAAGCTAGTAAATACTTACTTCTGTGCTAATGCTGCATGAATTCTTCGATACATATAACACTCTACAAACAACCAAGGGGACTGAAACCAACTTGGTTCTCCATTTCCATTTGATAAATTCCGTTGGTAGTCCAGGTGTTGGTTCCACAGCACAGCATCAGGCAACTCATCTTCCAAAGGGGTCACTGGTTTGTCTGTTTGCAGTTCATTCCGCAGTTTGGAGAGGAAAGATATAGCTCTCTTCTCTGCTTCGACACCCTTCTGAAATAAGTGGAGAACAAAAGTTCCTATTTGAACATTTATTCCTGTAGAGACACAGATCAACTTTTCATTAAATATGTAAGTGGTAAGTTTTAGTTGCCCAAGCTGAGCCTCTGACAAATCAGAGCTTGATTCAACAAAACGCATTTCGGTGAATAAAGCTCATTTTAGACCCAACATCCTAAAATGAATTGCACATGGAACTTCTTTTTAGATTGGACTTTTTGCTTAGTAGAGAGGAAGAAAGTGTTGAAACACGGAAGGTGCTACAGCCTCTCAAACACTACAACAACATAAAAACCTGAGGAAGCAAAGCAGTTGCAGAAATGACAGACCACAAAAAGGTTAGACAGGGAAGTGAGTTACAGAACTGATAGAAATAGCTAAAAGAAAGAGATGATTTAAAAAAAACCAAACAGACAAAAAGATTGAGACATACAAGTAACAATTGTAGTAAGAAGCCAGTAAAAACAAGGCAGAGAAGGGGTCTCAAGGGCTAGGGAGAAAAAAACATCAGGGAGAAAGAGAGACCTTACTCTTACCTCACCGTGTTCTTCAAAGAATTCATTTTTATGTCGATGCAAAGTATCAATAACTCTTGTGAGGATCTGTGGCAGTCTGTCTTTAATTGTAAGATATGCAAAGGATCTAAAAGGGAGAGAAACAAATTTTTATTATTGACAGCAAATAATGAAGTAGCTTCACTTTTTAAAAACAAATGCAAGGTCTTCATGCTGGTTTGGGCTGGAGCAGGGTTAATTTTCTTCACAGTAGCTGGTATGGGGCTGTGTTTTGAGTTGTGCTGGAGACAGTGTTGATAACACAGGGATGTTTTCATTACTGCTGATTTGGGCTTACCCAGAGTCAAGGCTTTGTCTGCCTCCCCTACCAGCACAGCATCCTACCAGCGAGCAGGCTGGGGGTGCACAAGGAGCTGGGAGGGGACACAGTTGAGACAGCTGACCCCAACTGACCCAAGGGATATCCCATACTATATGGTGTCACGTTCAGCAATGGAAACCAGGAGGAAAAGTTGTCTGGGGTGCCACTGCCTGGGTACTTCCTGGGCATCAGTCAGCTGGTGGTGAGCAATTGTTTTCATTGGCTTCGCCTGTTTTTCTTAGATTCTCTCTTTCTTTCTTCTTTTCCTTTCCATTCTAATGTAATATTATTTCAATTATTAACTGTTCTTATCTCAACCCACAATTTTTCTCACTTTTACCCTTCCCCTTCTGTCCCCCCCCCCCGCACTGGGCACTGAGTGAGTGGGCAGCTGTGCCGTGCTTGACTGCCAGCTGGGGTTAAAACAGTCTTAAAAGTAACTTTATGTGCCTCTAAAGCAGTGGACAGGAGTAACAGTAATAAAACCCCCTCCAATGGGTCAAATTCTTAGGTCTTCATTTAAAGAAAAACAGCAGTCTTTTCAAGGAAGAAAATGTTAAATGACTGGCCCTGCCAAAACAGCGAAACATTGCAGCTAATTCAGTACTAAACCGCGTTCTTTAATTGCTCGGTTGCCCGGATGCAGTCGGGGAAATGTAAAATTAAGAGTCGAGACACGTTCAAAGTTTATCATGCATCTCTTACCCACACGAAAACCCACACAAACGCACTACACTACGCACTACATTTACATTTCCCCGCAGCCCCGTTTATGTTCAAGGAGGACAACGAGCAGAACGTGACCAGCCATACAGACAGCGCCAACACGGCCTGGAGAGTTATTTTTAATGCAGGATTTCCCCCCGGCGAGTCGGGGCCGAGCAGCGACACCCGGAGCACAGCGACGCTTCCACACTCGCCCGCGGCCCGTGCCGGGCGCTCCCTGCGGCCACAGCGCCGCCTGCCGCCACTGCGGCCCCCGCCCGCCCCGCCGGGCCAAGAGCCGCCCCCCGGCCCCGCCCGGCGCCCAAAGGCCGCCGCTGCCCTGCCGCGGGGCGCCGGCCCCGTCCCTCGGCCCGCCCCCGCCCTCCGCGCCGCTGCCGTGACGGACCCCTTGAACCTGCCCGACAGGGGCGCGGGCAGTGCCGGCACCGCCGCCGCCATCTTGCTCCGCCCCCACCCGCGAGCCGGCGCCCTGCCTCGCCCCGCCCCCGGAAGCGGGGCGCGGCCGCCGGACGTTCCTGGCGCGCGGGCCGGCGCCTGCCGCGCGGCGACGGACGGGCGGGGCGTGTCGGGCGGCGCGCGCTGGCGAGGCCCGGCGGGCGGTGGGCGGGGCCGCGGCTCGCGCGGCGGAGAGCGGCGCGCCCCCTCCCCCAGGTCAGTGCTGGCGCGCGGCGGCGGCGGGAACCGCCTCGCCCCTCCCGCGGCGGCGGCGGCGCGAGCGCGCGCGGGGCGGGGGAGGGGAAGGGAAGGAGGGCAGGGCCGGGCCGGGCCGGGCCGGTGGCGCTGTGGGTGCCCTTCGCGGCCCTGCGCCACGGTCGGGGCTGCGCCGGGAGCTCGAGCCGGGGCAGGAGGCGTATGCAGCCCCTCCTGGGACGCCCCTGGGGTGGCGGGGCTTCTGCAGCGCCCGCGGAGAGGGTGCGGGCTAGCCGGGGCGGCCTCGGCTGCCCGTTCTGCCGGCTCCTATCCTGCCGCTGGCGGGAGAGCACCGCGAGGCTCCCGCGAGGAAGGGGCAGTTTTGGGCGAGCACGAGCCCTGCCTGCGGGCGAGGGCCGATTCCCTGCTCCGAACCGCCCCCAGCCCCAGGCTGCCGTCGCGGCGGCCGGAGCGGGGTCGCTGCCGGGTGGTGCCCCCGGCTCCCCCCGAGTGCGGGGCCGCCGGTCGATGGTGACGTAGCAGCGGCGAGGGCCGCGCGCCGCGGACCGTGGGGGGAGGGGGGGCCTCGCGCGGGGGCGCGCGCACTGGAGGCGGTGTCTCGCGCGCCCGCCGGGGGCACCCGCGAGTTGCTGCCGCGGGGCCGGGGCCTCGCGCTGCCTGCGGGGGGCGGAACAGCCTCGCCTCCTGATTGGCCGCCTGGTCCCCGCTGTGCCCGCCCCCCCCCGTCACCCGCAGCCAATGGGAGCGGAGCGCTCGCTCCCCTCGCCGCCTTCCCCCCCCTCCGCGCGTGCAGCGGGGGCGCTCCCGCGGGCGGTTCCCTTCGGGAAAGGGGACGGGAATGCGGGGGATGGGAAGGGGCGGGGTGTCCCGGCACCGGCTGCTGGCGGGCCCCGGGGGCAGCCTGGGGGCATCCAGACTGCGGGGGCCGGGCAGAGCCGGTCTGTGCCGGTCTGGCCCAGCCGCGGGCGGAGCGGGCCCGCCCTCCCCGTTGCAGGGCGCTGTCGCTGCCGCCGCCGCAGCGGGCTGGGCCTCGGGCTGGGGAGGGCATGGCCAAACCGTGCCGCGGCTGAAGAGAGGTTGGAAAATAAATCCCGCTTCTGTGCCCGCTGCTCGGGGGTGACGCCTCCTGTCCTGTACGCCCTTCATCCCGCTTTTCTTGGAGTGCTCCGTTCCGCTCGTTTTGGCTGGGTGCCTCTGCTGCCACAGGCCTGACGTTCAGGGCCCTGGATGGAATTCAGCCCATATGATCTCTTTCCTTGTAACCTGCTCTAAGCCTCTACACTTGAAAAATGATCCTTGGCATCACTGATTCAGGATGAGGGTTTTTTGCCTAGGAAAGTGAGGATTTAGTTGGCATTTGTTGAGTCTCTTTCTGCCAGTTACCCCACGTTGCTGGAGACTTCTCCCCTTGCCCTGGCTCTCAACTGGCTTGGGCTGCAGTTGCTGAGTTTTTTTCTGCTCTTTTGATTATCCAGAGGTGACAAGCCTTTAAAAAGGTAAATAAATGTGCCTTGTCTTGGGCAGAGTCTTCTGGGTTGTTTTATAAATACAGAAAAAGTTTAAAATAATAATTGGTTTATTCCAATAAGTATGCCAGTAACAAGCTGTAAATTGGGCAGAAATGTATCAGTGAAGAACATATAAAAATACAAAGTTGTGCCCAAGATCAGTTACTTATTCTGTGGCAACCTAAAAGTTTTCTACATCCTTTTTATTTAGTTAGATAATTATTTCTAATTGTATGCCTCTTTCACCAGATTTAGCATACTCCCATTAAGTTATGTCAGAGTGTGGTTTTGTGCGTGTATTGTGCTACCATCCAGGTATCCTTGACAGGACGGAGGACTTGTCCAAGGTACACACCATGATTTTTCTCACAAGAAAATGCTTATTTGAAATACTATGTTAAATGTGTTTATGGTATTGAAGATCCTCCTTTGTTTTTTGAAAAATATTCTGGCAGGCCGGTTTTTTTGAGCTATACAACTTAATGACTTTTTGTTAATAATTTGCTGAAGATGGATTTTAAGTCATAAGAGAAATTAGGAAAATGAGATGTGGGAAGGGACTTGACGTGTGATTTTTGAAATGAGAATGAAACGCACCCACTGAGGTATTCAACCTACTGTCTGTGAATACTTTTAAAGTTTATTTGATTAGCTCACACGACATAGGGTAGATAAAGTAAGCTCTTTTTTTTTTGCTGGTCTGAAATAACCAGAGTCAGGACACTGTTGTGTTTTCACCTCCACAGGTGGGCCTGCAGGTGGCTGCTGTTGCAGCAGGATGTACTGGGAGGAGCAAGGCTGTAGCTCGGCTCTGTTCTCACTGTAGTCAGGACACACGACTGGGGCTGGATCTGTGCTGGGCTGTTTTTGGCACAGGAGTCTGAGCTGATGCTGAGCAGTGTTTGTATTCTGTAGGTGACATTCCCATACAACCACATAGTAATCTAAATTGTTGTTTTTAATATGTATAACACAATGATTCACAGAGTCTGATGTCCTCTTTAAGGTGTGTGGGATTACTGAGTGCAGGCTGCTGCACAGAATGAGCAGCAGAAGGAAAAGATGCCTGCTTTCATATTGACATAGCAACGAGTTCTACTTTTTTACCCCGTGTTGCAAGCACACAGCTCAATAGTATGTTTTGAACTTTATATTTTCATAGGATTGAAAAAAGCTGTTTATTTCCACCAGTGTCATTTGCTTAGGCATCCTAACACATGCAAAAGGAGTATGAGTCACCTTCTAGATAAGAGAAAAATAATCTTTCTTTCCAAAATGTTGATGGATGATTTTGTTTCTTTGTTTTAAATACAGCTCAGAGGGAAGAAATGAAACTAAAACTTCTGCGCCTCCAGAATAGATCTTTCCATGCTTTAACAACAACATGTCAATGCCAAAGCTTTAACAAAACTGGATGTCTGCTATTAAAGCTGGATAACGAAGTTGACAGAACAGCTCAGAGAACAGCAAAGTCTTGGAATTTTTATGCTCTGAAAACTGCGTTCCCTTGGTTGACAAGTCGATGTGTGCAAGTCAAGAATTGGCAATTGCTCCGAGGATATGTATCCACTTTGGGAAGAAGTGTTTATTATCAGGGTGGGGAGGGGTTTTTTCCCTCTTGGAGACGCTTGGGTGCGATGATGATACAAAACTACAAGCTCAATACAGAGCATATCAGAAAGCTCAGGAACACATCATCAAGATTTTATGCAGTTGTATCAGCTGGTAAAATTATTCCAAAACACAATAACCTGCCAGTTAAGAGGCCACCAAAGGCACCAAGGACCAAGCAGCCATCCAGAACGAACCTGCCTCTCTCAGACATGAAGGTAATGCATAACATTTACAGTCTATATGACATCAAGGGAATGCATCATTTTAATGTATGTTCAGATTAAGGTTTAGATTAACATTTTAATGAAATTAATATTTTTATTTGGTGAGAAGGATTTAATTATTAACCCTAGTATGGGAGCTCTGCAAACAGAAGCAAGCTTGATAGAAATTAGTGTGTCTGGTATTCTGAAGGTAAAATGGAAGTTTACCAACAATGCGTAAACAAAAGTGGGAGATAAATGGAAAGGTGAAGTCCATTAAAAACAGTTTTGACCAGTGCTCTCATATCACAATTAATATTGAGAAACAAAGTCCAACTATCACAATAATTCTCTTCATGTCCTTGCTTGTCCAAATCTACCCAGTTTTAAGGGTTCACTCAAACAAAAATAAGGTGAAGGTAAAAAGTATAAGGTTTGTATTCAGATTAAGTTTCAGATGGGAAGTGGAGGTGCAAATGTAGCCTGTGTTACTTGAGAAAGATTATTCCATGTGTAGAAATAGCACCTTAATTTGCAGATTCCTAGGTCTGTTGCAGAGGAACTGCAACAACAAAGTCATATGGATCAAGTGAGATATGATGAAGTGGAACAGTACATGCTTGTAGCTGTATCTCTTTAAGATAGTTCTTAGCCAAGGCAGGCCTTAAGTATACTTGTATATAGGATTTCCATGGTGACTCCTGGTGTCAGAAGTGTTATTCTTCTCAAGCTGCAGCAACAACTGAGTTCCAGGGTATTGTTAGTAATATAGTATGATAATGAGACTGAAATAAGCATTGTGCCTTCAGAAATAGTTTACACATTGCAAAATATGTCTGTTGCATGATCTACTGAATGTGAGCACAGAGAAGTTTTAATGTTTGCCTTATTATCTAAGCTTCTGCTTAGTATTTTGTGTGATAAGCAGAAGTGTGCCTTTGTTGTAAGAGTCATATAGTTATATAGTCAATTTAGTTCCCACTTGTATTTCCATGTTGCTTTGAAAGAGGAAAGTGAAGAATATTAGTCCTGAAATACCATGTAATGTTTCCAGCTTTTTAGTCCTGCTATAACATTACATTCAGAGGTTGATTCTTTTTGGTTTGGGGTGAAGTGACAACATTTTTGAGGCTTTTAAATGACAGCATAGAATGCAAACAGTTTGACAGAGTGCCAACTTTTTTGGCATTTTCATATTTATGTGTAAGTAACATGCAGTGCTATATTTACTGTCTTCCAGTGTGAAGAAATGGAGAAACTATGTCCTGATATACTGACATAATAATATTGTTTCTGAGGAAGTTTCCACATGGCAAAATGCTGGGCCAGAAATCACATAAACTCAGACCTAGCTGAAACATTTGCTGGCTTTTATTAAATCCCACGTGGGTTTGTCAGAAATTCATCCCTGTCTGCAGGAGTACAGACAAGCTATCATGTTGACTGCAGACTGATGTTATTTTGGAATCAGGATTTTTT